GTGTGGTGGTCTACTTCAAATTCTGAGGCGGACAAAATAAAAATTCAGAGGTACTGAAGCAGAGAGGACGGCTAGACAGTTCTATTCAGATTTTATTTACATATGTATTTAAATGTATTCATATATTTAAATTTACATATTTAAATACCAATAGGCAGTGATGGTAAGTATATATAATTAGATGTCTTCAGAATTAAAATGCATTTGGTTTAAAATTGAAGGATCTCAAAGTTCTAAACCAAACGTAAAGACAGTATCTGCGTACAGAGTAAACACGTAGGCAAAAAGATCAGCTTCTAATTTCTCCTCCTTGCTGCTGTTGTTTGGTAAAGTATCTGCAAGAAAACGCTCCTGACATTTTTACTTTTGCTTCTTATCACCTGCACAGGAACCACAATCCAAAACTGCACTTTTCAAATGTGGGCCCAGTGAACGTTAAGTAGAAATTCAGAGAAAAGACAGAACCTGTTGACAAAGAATAAAAACCTAAGTGTAGGAGGAAAGCAGAAACCTTCCAGAAGGAGAGCTTAAATGATAATTACAGCACAAGCTGTCTCGCGGGCCTCACTGACTTTGAACTTTTGGAAAGAGGTTAAAAAGGAGGCAAGCGTCAAAGAGACAGATAGTCAGGAAGGACTCCAACCTCGAAGGACCTGGTCCAGGTTGGATGCAGAAGGATCCCTGAAAGAAACAGAATGAAGAGGAAAAGGATGGAAAAGAGCCAGGATGTGAATGTGCTGAGTTGAAAGCACTATCCAGAGGGAAAACCTAGTTGTAACAGCTTTCCGGACTGGGAGGGAATTGCTGTAAAAGGATTTCACCGTTCTTACAAAAAAGAAATACATATATATTTAAATTTATGTAAATTTTTATGTATATGAAAAAAATTTGTCCAGCTTTCCCCAGACTTCAGAAATTTTAGCAGGGACATTTAAAAGTTTTAGAACCCAGCAAACTTGGCATTTATTCTATTCATGACTATTGTTACAGAGATCATCTTTAAAAAAAAAAAAAATGAGACCGAGTGTATTTTTGAAGGATGTATTTAGAGACACTATAGGACGATGGTTAAGAAGGCCAGTGCCAAGGTCCCTGAGTTTAAATTTCTAGCTATGTGATCACAGGCAAGTTATTTGATCCCCTTGTGCCTCAGTTTCCCAATATGTTAAATGGAGATATTAATAGCATCTGCTTCATAGACTTGTCGTAAGGATCAGAGGTGCTGGCAGACTACAGAGTGTTACTGAGGTGCTGATTTTTATAATTCGTTCATTTAACACATTTTTATTAACCTCCTCCTAGTATAAAATGTGGCGTTAAATGCTCCTGGCGTGCGGTTTTCCCTCCCTCTCAAGAGAACACAGGGAACCAGGGCAGACAGAATTAATACACATAAAGGAATAAATGAAAAAAGGACGCATAGTACGTAATATGAGGAAACAGTTACTAAATTTCTTAGGTGTGATAATTTTCTAGGCACACCGTAAGATCTAAAGAAGACTGTGCTAATTCTCAGAAAACACAAACTGATTTATTTGGGGATGAAGAGCCATGATGTTTCTCATCTCAAATTACTTTGCAAAGAAACAAACTATACACATAAATGCACGTGTATAAAGCAAACATGACAAGAAAACGTTCATTGGAGAAAAAGAAAAAAAAAAGGAAAGAAAGGAAAAAAAGGAGGCAGGAAGGGTCCTAATGCTAGCTCAGAAGTCCAGAACATTCTGTGGACTCAAGACACTTTCCAAACTTGTCTTCGCAGTGTGCCGGAAACGAGAGGGATCCTGGAGACGCGACGTGTTCTATAAACATTATTTTCTACCACAAGCACCCAGAGAACAAGCCAGTGGGAGGGGCTGGTTCAAAAACGCCAGCCACCCGGTCACGGCCTCACACTCCTACTAAGAGGCTCCAAAACACTGCAGTGAATTCTTCAGAATTGGAAGTAAAGCCCTTTCTAAGCCCCAGCCTTCCCCTTCTAACAGTCAACACCTGTTCCCTGGACTTCTACAACAATCTCCAAACTCTCCTCCTTACTCCCACTCTATGTTCCACACTGTTCGGGAATGAAAATGACAAATTCCCGTTTAAATTCATCAATGGTTCAACAGTAATTGTTACTAGGAAAACAGTAACGATGAAGCAGCTAATACTGAACAGCCATTTAGCCAGGCACTGTGCTAACTACTGGACCTGCAACGTCTCATTTAATCCTCACTGTCCCTATTAAGTGGGCATTAGCATTTCCCCAATTTACAGATTAGTAAACTGAGACAGAGAGGTATGAACTCACTTGCCCATGAGACAGAGCTGGTGAGTCAGTGGTGGAAACAGGCTCCAGACCTAAGCCCCCGTCTCCCCCTCAGGATAAACAGGAAATGTCCCACCTGGGCACACAAAGCCCCGTGAAGCCGTGCATACATCAGCTTCCCATCACCCACTTTCTTCCTCACCATCTTCCCTCATCGGTGATGCCCTCAACTCCGCCGCTCTCCTCCCTGTCCTCACTCAGGGTCTCCACATGGGGGCAACACGCCCAGCTGTCTGAGACTAAACAGCTCCCTTTTGGACATCTTCAAGGCCCTGGTCCTGCTGTAATTACACATTTATCTGTGGATGCTCCACGGGAGGCCCCATCTCAGCTCCACTAGCCCTTAAGTCCCAGCGCCCAGCGTAGCGCCTGGCAAACAGGAAGTGTTCGGCCATCTTTATGCGCTAGGAAAAATGGCGGTATGAGGGAAAGTAAAACCACTGGGTCCTACTTCGAGGGCCATCCTTTATGGCTGCTGTGATTTTTGAAGTCACTGCCTCTATGAGCCTGTGGGGTCTCATTTTAACCTTCTGGTGACAGTCAAAACTGTAAAAATAAGCAATTTGGAGTTTTCAAAGCTCTTTTGCAAGAATCCCCCCATTTGTACCCGGAACGGTTCTGGGAAGTATGCAGTCTCATTCTAGCCCACATTTAGGAGGAGCGGGTGGCGGCGGGGGGATTCATGATTTGCTGCAGTCAATCGGCTGGTGACCCTGACGCCCACCCCTGACCACAAGCACAGGCTACAACCAGTTGGTTAGCAACCGCCTGACCCAGGGTGCAGCGAAGCCCTGAAAATCTGCAGAGCTCCATGTGTGAGGGACAATGCGTGCTGCCTGCTCAGCCCTCAACCCCTTTCAACATGCCCGTGTTTTCCATTCGCTCCAGAGACCCAAGGGGAGGGTGAAACACACTTTTCTCAAACACATTCTACTCCACTGCCATGGTAACCACATACATCGCAAGCACAAGCAACCTGGGGTGCAGCTCCCACCCCTGCACAGGTGAGCGGAAGCTGGGGGACAGGATTCACTTCTTCACGTCGGGTCTTCAAAACACTGAGGAGGAGGAGATGCTGCAACCCTGAGCCCCTGGGTCACCTGGGAGGTCGGTGGCCTTTCAGCAAGTGCCGTGCTAAACCACTGCTGCCCTGCAGCCTCTCAGCCAGGGGCAGGGTAGGGTAATGTGGATCCCAGAGACGGTTCCAGAGTGTTCGCACTCAGACTCTACACTTCATCTCTGCAGACGATGTCCTCATACTTTATGCAGTTTGTCCGCGTACCTCTGCGGATCAGGAGCTGACATGCCGGTTTTAAAAACAAACAAACACAGAAACCTCTAGGGGCACCTGGGTGGCTCAGTCAGTTAAGAGACCGACTTTGGCTCAGGTCATGATCTCACAGTTCGTGAGTTCAAGCCCCGCGTCAGGCTCTCTGCTGACAACTCAGAGCCTGGAGCCTGCTTCGGATTCTGTGTCTCCCTCTCTCTCTGTTCCTCCTCTGCTCATGCTCTGTCTCTCAATAATAAATAAACGTTAAAAAATAAAAGTAAATAAATAAATAAACAAATAAATAAATAAATAAATCTCAAAAAAATAAAGAACAAAAAACTCTAACATCAGGTTATTCTTACAACATTAGTGTTTAAAGTAATCCCTTCCATAACATCCCTCCAAGCAGAAATGAGAACTTCCTCTGAGTACAAAATCGTATCTTGAATACCAGCTTGCTAACTATGGTCACCTGCCTGCCCCTTCAGGTCGAACTACTCTAATAGTAAAACTTTTTTTTAACTAAAAGTAGCTAAAAGGGCGCCTGGGTGACACTTCGGCGCAGGTCACGATCTCGTGCTTCACGAGTTCCAGCCCCGCGCCGGGCTCTGTGCTGACAGCTCAGAGCGTGAAGACTGCTTCGGATTCTGTCTCCCTGTCTCTCTGCCCCTCCCCTGCTCACGCTCTGTCTCTCTCTCTCAAAAATAAACATTAAAATAAATAATAAATAAATAAATAAAAATAAAAGTAGCTCAAAAGATGTGACTCTCCAGATAACCTGAAGTTTCTAAGGTGTTAGAAAGTTGATTTAAAAATAAAAGCAGGTGACGGGCACCCGAGTGGCTCTCCGTCGCGTCCAACTCTTGATTTTCACTCGGGTCATGACCTCCCAGGATCAGGAGATGGAGTCCCGCATCCGGCTCTGTGCTAAGAGCGCGGAGCCTGCTTGGGATTCTCGCCCTCTCGCCCTCTCTCTCTGCCCCTCCCCTGCTCACACCCTCTCCCTGCCTAAAGGAATAAACATTTTTTAAGAATAAAATAAAATAAAAGCAGGTGAACTTCATGTTGAAATATTTTCTATGTGTACTGGTATCTAGAACAAACAAAATTTTGAAAATTTAACGCGTGAAATTTAGGAAAAAACTTATAGTTATCACTGTGTTACATGTATTCATTTTCAAGGTGTAAGTAAAATGACAGAAATTCCTAGATTATGTCTAATATTCAAACATAATTCTCAAGCTATTCTAGCACAGAATTTTTTAAGAAAAGACTACCTTATATTTCGCTTTATAAATGGAACAAATGGAGGAAGTTCTCTCGCACGGAGGTTTTCAGAAATTTAAAGCTGATCAAAGTAGTTTATGGGTTAAAAATGGGAAGAAAAAACAGGTATCCTCAGGCAATAATACTTACCTTCTGGACACTGGCAGGTGAATCCACTGAGACTAGAAATGCATGTTGCTGCATTTCTGCATGGGTCTAGGATACAGTAATCAATCTTGGATTGGCACAGCTCTCCAGTATAACCTGAATAAAACAAGATAGATATTTTATAAAATGCGTTATTCCAAAACCATTGCGAACTACCCCAGGAACTGATGGAGTCTAATCAGTACCCCACCCACCAGAAGCAGCAGCTTTGAGCAAAAGAGCCCCCCACCCAGCCACTCCTCCTCGGTCTGCTTTGGTTTTGCAATGGGAAACAGTCTTAGCAGTTTAGAATCACAGTTCAAAAATCATTTACTTTGCAAAAATCTTTTACTGCAAGGAGAGACTTTCCTTCAGCCTTAGCCCTGCACTTTACTTTGAAATACGAGTCAGAACCTTCAGAAACTGAGGGTTCCCAGCTTCCTTCTGACACAGGACAAAACACAGTCTACAATGTGTTTGTAGACGAGAGGCCATCTAACTGAGAGGACGGCCACTTTCCCTGTGTCAGTGTCATCCCAATACCTATTTTTAAAAAGCACAAGGAAAAACGCTAGTCATTAAAATTTCTTTAATTTATATTTTACAGCTGGAAGAACCATTCTGTGTTAATGCCATGCCCCATTCCTTCATTTTAAAGATAAAGAGATTGAGACACACATAATGTTAAGCACCTGAATATATTATTCTTGGTTTTATTTGAATCCCATCCAGCCTAGTAAATTCTCTGTGAAGCAAGACTCTGGCGGGGATTGGACAGTAACATAAATACATGTGTGATACGGAAGTAAGGACTCCCATCTATGAGAATGCAACCCAAAAGCTTTAAATAAATTCCACATTAGGGGAGCCTGGGTGGCTCAGTCGCTTGAGCATCTGACTTCAGCTCTGGTCATGATCTCACAGTTGTGGCTTTGAGTCCCATGTCGGGATCTGTGCTGACAGCTCAGAGCCCGGAGCCTGCTTCGATTCTGTGTCTCCCTCTCTCTCTCTGCCCCTGCCCCGCTTGAACTGTCTCTCTCTCTCTCTCTCTCTCTCTCTCTCTCTTTTTCAAAAATAAACATCAAAAAAATTTTAAGTGAATAAATTCCACATTACTTAGTAACTTTGAAAACAAAGCCCTCCAGAGAAATAAATTCATTTTAAAGTGGAAAATGGCTATGAAAGAAACTTTGAACACAAGATGTCAAACAGAAAGAGGCTCTGCCCTTAGTTCTGTTATTTGAGTGACAGAACTCTTAATAATTTGGAGATGATTCCTATCAGAAATTTTTATGCACAGATATTTTCTACACGATTATAATCATACTGTAGCATTTTATACCTTGCTAGGCTGTACCTTAAGTATTTAAAAACTTGTCTTTCTGGGGCGCCTGGGTGGCGCAGTCGGTTAAGCGTCCGACTTCAGCCAGGTCACGATCTCACCGTCTGTGAGTTCGAGCCCCGCGTCGGGCTCTGGGCTGATGGCTCAGAGCCTGGAGCCTGTTTCTGATTCTGTGTCTCCCTCTCTCTCTGCCCCTCCCCCGTTCATGCTCTGTCTCTCTCTGTCCCAAAAATAAATAAACGTTGAAAAAAAAAAAAAAATTTAAAAAATAAAAAAAAATAAAAACTTGTCTTTCTGAATTATTAGTTTTGAAAGACTGTCATTAGCAGTTGAATCTGAGATTTGCAAAAGTAAATGGGTGATATTAGAAGAGGGATGATTCGCCTGAGCTTCAATTACCTGCAAAACGAGTAAAAATTACAGATTGTGAACGTGGAGGCATTTATGTACAACCTTACTCTCCCCTACAGGCTTGAAAACAGCTCAGGAGATTGTAGTTTATTAGCGAATGTGATAAGATGAATAAAATAATTGTATAAACTAAAAATCCAAACACCAGGACAAAAAGCTGTTTCAAAATTGCAGAACAGAATATCTTAATGTGATAACAGTATGTTCATAGATCTTCAAATGACGGCCCTAAATTCAGAATGAGGGAGAGCAAACTGTTTTTCAGAAGAGTGCTACAAATAAGTTTCTGACTAAAAATCATAGCTAATACCTATAATAGAACACTTCTTTTTTCTTCTATGCATTAACTCATCCTCACTGCAAACTATGAGGTCAGTATCATAACCATGTCCGTTTCACGAATGGGGAAACTGAGAACTGGGGAGTTTAAGTGATTTTCACAATGGCACACGGGGAGTCAAACTCCTGAGCCCAATCCCTTAAATGCGTCATCATGCCTGAGGCAATATGCATCACATGCTCAAAAACATGTATTTAACATGAAGGGAAAATAACAGAAAATGATGTATAAGGAAACGCACAGACATAGATAGACACAGACTAAACACCATGGTTATTCTTGGGCTTACCAAAAATTTTCTTTAAATCCCTGCTTTCAACATTTCTACAACAGACTACAAAAGTACCTTCATGAAAAAGACAGCCAATTACAAATACTGGCTTCTTAGAAGCAGTGTGCTTACAGGATATAGAGTCATGAATCCTGCCATCACGAAGATCTTAAAACGGTGACCACAGAATCACACAAAATCATTAAAAATAGCCAAAAGCCAATGAGATATCATACATCTGTAAGAGATGTATATGTCCCTACCAGACAGAAACAATATGAGCAAAATTCAGGATTCCATGAGCTTCGAAGTTCTTTAGAGAAAATTTTAACATTCACTTTCTTTGAACTTTTTATTTGGGAGTTTTAAACATACCTAAACGTAGAGAGACTAGTATATAAGCCTCATGTCTCTATCACCTAACTTCAACAATCACTAGCATTCTGTCCATTTAATTTCATCTAGCTCTCTCATAGTTTTATATTTTCCCTGTTGGGCTATCTTAAAGCAAATTTCATTTCACCTGTAAAGACTTCAAGATGTATCCCGAACTAATGGAGATTTTTTTTTTTAAGATCACTTCTAATGGCCTCTTTAATGTGCGGTCCCATTTACAAACTGAATTAAACACTTTAAACTACATTTATTAACTTCAACAATTTCTTTTTAAGAACCCCATTTGTCGAATAATACACAAATCTTCCCATGCATTTAATTCACTATTATCTAATAAACCTAATAAATTAAACCTTAAGCGCTGTTAAATGCTCCAATATTTACGCATTCAAGTGTAGTAGGATTTCAACCTAAGAGGTCAATCCACATTGCAGTGTGTGGGGTGTTTGGGATTGTCCAACCAGTACTTAGTGGTGGAGATTCTAAAGTCTTGCACTGCCCGAGACGACCCAGTACAGGAAAATTTTCTTACTCAAATGCCAATAGTCCTCTCTAATGAGGAACACAGGTCAGGGACCAGTCACTACATCATTGCTTTTGGCTCTCAAGCTTTACAGCTTTCTCGCAAGGATTTTTTCAGTAGGGGAAACATGGAACTATAAATAAAAGTGTGTACTTAGACCTATAAAGTATGTATATGTTGGCATGTCTACAGGTTCGATATAAGTGGAAAAGAAAAACAGCAATGGAGGAAGGAGGGAGGCAGGAAAGCACAGCTGGGATGATGGGATTATGGGATTACTGAGTATCCTCAGCTGCAGGTGACCAGCTGGTCAGTTACTAGCAATAACCAGCCTGTGTGTCTGCCCAGCTGTAATTCAGGGCCTGACGCTTGTCCACACCAGGCCAGGCATGACTCTTGACGTCAAAGAAGGTAGTTCCAATTTAGTCGGAAGTCCCAGGAGCGCCATCACTGACTGCATGGAGCCAACTGGAGCCAGATCTGGGAGAGGACAAGGAACTGCGAGTGTCCTGTTGCTGGTTTCAGGGACTCTTAAACACCAGTGAGTCATTTCTTAGACCCGCAGAAAGCAGAAATCTACAGTTGTCAGACAAATCCCTGATATTAACCTATATATAATATTCTGAACTGCACATCTAAGGCATACACAAATTACCCATCCATGTCTGTTGTTTTTTCATTTGATATCATAACCAAGGTGTTAAAACTAAATGAGTGAATGGAATTTAAATTTTACAAGACCATGAAGGCTTTGCCTGGGTTCTTTCTTCCATCTTGCGGGAAGCCGGTATCTTCTCTGGGGAATAAAATAACCATGCTGATCATGGACATTTCCTCACCCAACCAAAGCAGTGACACACATTCAGAGGACCTTGTGGAATGTTCAAGCAAAGCAATGATTGTGTCAACACAGTGGATAAGAAAGGTATTATGTGGTCATTTCGTGCATGTTGCTAACAGGAGAATTTTCTCTAACACACACACACACACACACACATACACACATGCACACACGCGCGCGCCCACACACACGCACACACACACACACACACACACACACACACACACACACACAAATGGGCATTTCAGGACTTAAAGACCTAGGTCATAAGTTCCCAATGGGATATTGGTAAGGCACAAAGAAAAGCCCACGTAAAGGCCCAGCAGTATGCATGAAAGGTGTGGATGCCATTCAGACGTCCTTAAAAATGCACAACAGAGAAAATCTCCTTCATTCAGGTTTCCAATGACAAAGTCTATACCCAACTACCAAGGCAAATAGCAGTAACTGTCTCCATTCCTTTCCTTAGAACTACTGATATGGCCCCTTCTTAGCCAAACCCGAAGCATTCAGGGACCCCCTTCCAAATTAGTGTTATAACCACATGGTACTTTCACGTTGTCCAGGTCGGGACATCATTGCCTCTCACCAGGACCTAAGACAAGGCCCCTCAGCCCATCTCCTTACCCCTCCTCTTGCTTTCCTACAATCCATTCTACAGTCCACGTGGGAGTAGCCGGAGAGATTTTTTTAAGACATAGCTTATATCCTATTATTCTTAAAACCTTCCACTTGCTTTACAAAGGGCTGGGAACAAAACCCAAACACTTGACTCCACGGGTAAAAGGCACAACGTGATCCGGCCCCTGCCTCCTTCATCCCCACACATTCTCCCCATCCACCACTGCACTGTGGCCACCGTGGAGTCCAAGTGTCCCTAAAGTCACCAAGCTTCTTCTCACAGTCTTTAATGGTGTTTTCAGGCTGTGGCCTCAGGACCACACAAAGATGTGACAGAGACACAGGATACAACGAAAGCAGTTGTGGTCCTGC